CACACACACACACACACACACACACACACACACACACACACACACACACACACACACACTTAACACACACAACTTCAGTTTTTATGTTTTCTTTCTGTATAAGGACACCAGTAATATTAGACTAGGGCCCAACCACTATGACTTCATATGATCTCAGTTAGTTCCTTCATAAGCCCATTTCCAATTATAACTTATATGTTCCAACATATAAATTCAGGGCAATACAAGTAAGACCATAAAAAGTACATAGGGTACTTTACCATTAATATATTTTGTATATTGTATGTGTGTATTGTATGTGGCATGTGTATGAATAAGTACATGTGCCAGGAGGCTGCTCATGAACATATGAGTGCACGCATGTAGAGACCCAATTTTAATAGTGGCTGTATTCCTCCATCACTCCTCACCTTATATGTGGAGGCAGTCCCTAGCTGAACCCAGAGCTTGCCAATTCAGTAAGGAGATTCCATCTCCATCTTCTCTGTGTTGGGATTACAGAGGCTGCTACATCCCCTAACTTTTTACATACTTGTGAGCCTTCTCCCTTGCCTCTCTTCATAGTACACAAGATTGTTTTGTTTATGGATACATATATGTAATAAGATATAAAGTTATTGATGGGAATAAAACAAAGGAACTTGAGGGTGAAGGTTCTCTCTGGAAAAGAGGGAAAGAGGAACAGCGTGGTGAAGGGAAGCTTCCACTGTGCTGTTTCTCTTTAATTTGTGTAAAAAGGTATCTGAGGCAAATGTTGTAAAAACATTGCCGTTAAGTCTACATGATGGAACTATTGACACAGCACATCACTCTCTGTACCTTCCTGTGTGACTGGCATTGTCATGTTTCCTTTTTATTAAGTAACTACATTTAAAATGAGAGGGGGTATAAACTGCTTCTAGCTTGAAAAGTAACTTCAGCCACACTGTGGAAGATGAACTAGGAATAATAAGCTGAATCTCTGAATGAGGATGCAGAGCCACTCTCTTTCTGTACTTCAGCTAGTGTTTGTGGGACCTCCCTGTGTAGAAGGCACTATAATGGACCCAGTGGCAAAGGTGAGCACATGTAAAATGTCCTGTAAAACAAAATAAATTATAATCTGGATGAACTAACTTACAAAATAATTATCCTGATTATTCACATGTGTATCTATCTGTTGGTTACATTTCAAGCCCAGAGGAAGATTTCCCCATAAAGGAAAACAAAACTTATCAACTGTGATTAAGTTCTTAAGTTGGGTCTCAAATGGCCTATTTTTTCCAAAGTATAAAATTATTGAATTCCGAAGTTGGAGAGGATTATAATATAATTGAAATTCTTCACATTTGCCATGAGAAATAGTAGAAAAGAGCATGTTCTGAGACTGGTAATGAAATGGCACAGAAAGACAATAGAGTTGAATAAGAAATGCCTTATTTATTTTTTCATTATCTTGAATGCTGGCATTCGAGGAAAAGTAGAACTAATTAAGTAAGTTAGCAGTAGAAGTTTAGCAGTGCCCACTGAGTGATGGCAGGGGCATTCTGGATACTTCTGCAGTAGCTATCTTTGATTCTTTTTCATCACTGAGTTTCTACATTTAGTTTTAGAAAAACAACTTTTATATCACTTAATAGATAATCAAGCTATTTCTGGCAATCTTTCATTCATTTATCTACCACAACTTATGACTCAATGGACTGAGAACCAGAAAAGACAGTGTTCATGTGCCTGGGTCAAGAGACTAAGCTCAGAATAGGTCAGCACAAACCAAGTGCATCTTGGGTCTGACACA